AGAGACTAATTCACTGTACGAGAAGGGAAGAAGACAAGAAAGACGAATGACTATCAGCCTTCCGATATAGAACATGCCCGTGCTCAGTGAGAACATGAGTATACGTTGTTTCTGTGTAGGGCTAGATTCTCCACTAATGTCACTTAACTGGGTAAATTTGGATTCATAATCTCAAAAGGCATTTTACAGGTGTGAGCTGGGAACAGTGTGTTTGCTGCATGTCCTTAACAGTGCTTCCCAACTTCACTATTTCCACATGGCACATGTGGTTGATGGCATAGCAATGGGCTGTTCATTGAGAAAACCTTGTTAGATGTAATGAGTGGGGGCAGATTCGTCACTATGATGGTAAGTTAGCCTTTCAGATGAACCAGGAACCTCATATCTTCATTCAGCTTTGTTGCTAGCCATTTTGTTGTTGTTGTTCTGAAAATCAGGCTATAGTTGTGTTTTTGTTAATTTAGTAGTAGATCTCAGGGTCAAGGAAAAACCTCACCCACTAAACTCTATAGTTGCATTTTCTGTGTTTATGAGTATGGTGTGCATGCATGCATGTGCCCTATTGCCCTGGGTACCCCCACTTTTGTTTTCTCTTTCCAGTTGCCATGACATTAATAGACTGAGGAAACCCTAGAACTATCATGCATGCCTATTGGGAATTAAGGTCACAGGGTACCAAGGAGTGAATATGAGTGTTTTTATGCCTGGTCACAGGCAAGTATAAGTTAAAAAACAACCCAGGGAGCTGGAACTGTCCGTTAGAACATAGTGGAATCATCAGTGGGTATATAACTGATGGCAATGATTTATCCTTTCCCTAAATTAGTCAGTAAATGGACCAGCAGTGAGAGAGAGGGTCACCTGAGCCCTTGTATCTATGTGTGAGTGTTGACAGATTCATTTTCTATGCACATTTAGAGTGCTATGAGTTTATAGTTGAAATTCTTGTGTCTTGCCAAGAATATAACATTTCTCTGCCCTTTTCTCTTTCTGTCACCATTTCTTCAATGTCCACTGATCTTTAATATAATATATTTTGTAAAGTTGATCACTAACAGTGTACTTTGTAGCCAGGAGTCTGTACATTCACCACTGTTCACTGGACAAAGAAGCTTCTATAATTAAAGTTGGAAATAGCATTTGTTTAAAAACATATACATAAATAGGAATTCACAACGGCAGCAAATATATTGTTCTGTTCTTATAAGAAATGATATCATGTAGGTTACAAATAGTTGCTTACAATGGACAGTAATTTCCAAGATCAGTTGGAAATCCTGGTGAGTTCTGGCCTGAACTTCTTGCTTCTATGAATAATACATGTTTTCTGTACTGTTACTTTGACATCAAGTATCATCTGACACAGAATGCTCTATGCAAAACTTCAGTGAAGATTTTGGTGCAAGCTAAGGGGAGGTAAAATGTAAGCTACACATGGGAGCCAGGTAAAATGCAAGATATACATCGGGAGACAGTTAGTATAAAGACTATGCCTTCTATAGCATTATCGTGGAAGGTTGTTAAAGGTTGACAACTACCTTATATGTCATCCTAGAGCCTTCATCTATTAGCTAATGGAAGCAGAAGCAGAGACCCACAGCTAAACACTAACAAGACTCCTGGAATCCTGTTACACAGAGGGAGGAATGATGAGCAAAGGGGTCAGGACCAGGCTGGAGAAACCTACAGAATCAGTTGACTTGAACAAAGGGGAGCTCATAGACTACAGTCTGATAGCTGGGAAACCAGCATAGAACCTACCCAGATTCCCTAAATGTGGTGTTAGTTGGAAGGGCCTCTGGAATGGATCAGTATTTATATCCCTAGTATATGAATGGACTTTGGAGCCCATCCCACATAGAGGGATACTCCCTCAGCCTAGACACCTGGGGAAGGGCCTGGGCCCTGCTCCAAATGTTATGACAGACTTTGAAGACTCCCCATGGAAGGCTTAATCCTCCCTGGGGAGCAGTAAGGGGATGGAATGGGAGTTGGTGGGGGTGATAGGGGAGGATAAGAGGGTGTGGGAACTGGAATTGACACATAAAACAGGCTTTGTTTCAAATTTAAATAAAAAAGGGGGAGGGAAGACTATGCCTTAGGGACCAAGAAAATGCAAGATAAGCATGACCACCAGGCAGGATGGAAACTATGCATAGAAAGACAAGGAATGATAAAAGCTTTATGTTAGGAGCTAGAAATATGCAAGATATGCATGGGATAGGGATGTGTAGATTGCTAGCCATGCATTGGAGGCCAGGCTTGGTGGAAACTATACATTAAGGGTAGGAGGATTCAGGCTATGTAATAAGGGCCAGAAAGGACACAAACTATGCGTGTGGAACCAGCTGTGCATTAAAGGCAAAGTGAAATACAGTGTGTGTATTAGGGGCCAAAGAAGGATGCAAGATATACATTAAGGACTAGGTAGCATGCATGTTATGCACAGAAGGTCCAGATAGGATACAAGCTATGTATGAGGAGCAAGGTGGTATTGCAGCACAGATCTCTCTGAAAAATAGAAGTTAACAATAATCAATATCCTTGTTACAAGTCTTTGACAACTTTTTCTGCAGGAACAATGGCTGATGTGAGCCTGTCTTTTACATGACCACTTTATACCATGACCTCAAGTACCAATAATTTGCTCTGTTTTTGCCCTTTGGCTGGTGTTTTACACAATCTGCTTACCCATCAGAATGTTGTATAATGACGTCTTCCTTTTTAGCTAAACAAATACTTTATTTTTTGTGCTTTGGAGATACATGTTTATACCATAAATGATATACTGCTCCCTTGATACAGGTTTACATATAAACTTTGTGGACACATGTTTGCGATTTCACTTTCATTACAGAAATTATGGTTCGTTTAAGATTTCTCAAACCCTTTTCTATTGTTGAATGTATTAAAATTTAAAAAACTTTGATCAATATAATTCCTCAAGAATTTGTCATGAGATCCAGGAGAGTATAATGTTTATACTTTTAATTTAATTCAATGTAAGTGCATATTTTGCTTCATCAGTCTTTAGCACAAGTAGCATTTTACTCAGAAACAAATATACTACATTTTAAAAATATAACCATTCATTATTCATTTAAAATTTGACTGATATGATATTTAAAATGAACAATGATAGGTTTTAATTGATTGTAGTGCATGACGAGGAATCCACATGCAACATCCAGTGTTGCCTGGCTGAATTTTGAAGTGAAAACAGTTATTCCCACATAGACATGGATACCCACATCCAGTGGTATACCTTTCTCCTACTCATTCAGAATTGCTTCCTTTCATGAGAGTCAGAAGTCCTCAAGATTTGGATTGCCATTTATCTCATTCAGTTTATAACATAAATTTCAAAGATTACATTAAAAATGCACAGAGCTGGTGGTTTACCATATTTCCTTTATATTGACTGTCTCTAAGAAGCATTTAAACATCAGTGGGAGGGATCAGTAATAAATATCACTTGCTTCTTCCAGCTATATACAAGAAAAAAGATATCTCTACTTTTTTTTTTTTTTCTTTTTAGTAAAGCTAGTTAAATGGCATGGGAAATGTGTCCAGGTTCACAACAGATTGATAACCTAGTGTGTCTAGAATTGTTATGTAAAATCCTGGAGCTGAACCACCACACAACAAAAACTTCGATTCTTAGATCACAGCATGAAATACTGTGAAAGTAATATCTTACTCCACATTTTGAAGTGAGGTGTTTTGGACCCTCTGGGTTCATAAATGGAGATTGATGATGATACATAAAGCAGGTAGGATGAGCTATAAGCTGTTCTGGCCAGCTGCCCAAAGCATGACCTTCAGAGTCCGATCTTGTTTCGCCATCAACCATTGTCTATTCCCTCTGCCTACTGTCCCATCATATCTGTAGTGGGAGTTAGCAATTATACAAGGGTACAGTCCATATAAGCTGAGCATCCTTTGATATCTTCCGATGAGCCCGTTTAGACTCTGACTGCATATCTCCTCATTGAGTTTTTACTGAAATCCTCATTTAATAACTGTTTGCTAGAACAAATGGGAAGGAACAATGGAGAATAGAAATAAGCCACATCATGTCAGTCAGGCTGAATATGGGGTATCTGCATTCATGGGAGATAATCTGAAAAGAACTGTTTCAATATTGTCTTTGTTTTTTTTTTTTTTTTAACTACAAGTATGTATAATTTCAAGCTTCATATTTAGGAAGAGAACTTATTTCTTTGCCAGCATTTAAAAATGAATTATTGGGGCTGGAGAAATAGCTTGGTAATTAAGGCACAGGGGACGCATGTCCTTGCGTGAGGATAAGAACTGTCTATAGCTCCAGTTCCAGGGAATATGATGCTTTCTTCTTGCCTCTGTGTGCACCAGACATGCACATAGTACACAGATATACATGCAGGGTAAACATCCATATGCACAAAATTAAAGAAAAATAATTTTAAGTGAGTTACAAACCATATATACTTTACCTTATAAAATCTGGGGAAAATGAATAACGATTTGTCTATATATATTTGTTTTACTGTTTTGGAGCTTTTTACTTTTACATTAAAATGCTACATAGTTACTATCCAAAACTGATGTCCTGCTAAACATGATGCCATAGGTAAGTTTTCATTATTAGAAAATTAGCCTGTCTTTTTATAATAACCTTGAATACATTGTCATTATTTGACTCACCATCACCCAGTGATTATAAACCATCGTGTAACTACCACATTGCTCTTATGGAGAGAATTTATGGACTTTAGCTTTGGCAACTTGCTAGTTACCTGGGTAAAATCTTTGTACTCTTCAGATTGATAACCCATGTTTGCACAGTGTTTTCTTCAGAGCTTTGCTACCTTTAGATTTCCACTAAAAAGTACAGTTCTGACAACACTTCTTCCAACATCCCATAGATGTATCAGATCTAAGTTTTTTTTTTTCAAACTGTGTTTCATAAAGTTAAGATGATCACTCATTCTGTTTTGCACTTCCCTATTTGACTATAGGGTGAAGAAGGGTACCCACAAGAAGGAATTCTGGAAGACATGCCTGTGGATCCTGGCAGTGAGGCCTATGAAATGCCTTCAGAGGTAATATATACTTATATATACATATATATATATATATATATATTACCTCTGAAGGCATTTATGTATATATACGTATATTTATTTACACACACACACACACACACACACACACACACACACACCTGAAAAATAGTTGAGGTGTTTAGATTTTGCTAACAGGTACTACCAAAACTCCATGACTATCAGATCTCCCCCATATTAGGGTCTGGGTAGTTCAACCAAGGAAATGATTTTGATCTGTGTGGGAGAGGGTAGGAGATATAGTAGGTCAAAATGAGAAAAAATGAGAAGAGAAAATTCTATCACAAGAGACTACTAGAAACAATGGAAGTGTCTGAACAACAGCATAGTTATTAATCATGCTTAGAAAACAGAAAAATGACAGATTAAGATTGAAGACATAATTAGGGTTATAGACAAACTTTGGAGCACCAAGGTCACTTTGTCATTTAAGTTTATATTTACTTAAAGCAAGACAAGCAAAACAAAACAAGTGTTTGAAGATAGGTTAACAGCAGATACATACATACACACATACATACATACATACATACATACATACATACATATAAAACTGGGGTTATTGTTGAGGAAGGCTACCTAATCTAGTTAGGGCTATTACTATGGTGGATGTTATCTGCATTTTTTTCCCCAGGAGGCTTGGGCTTTAGAATAGAGTAAAAGGAGGCATTAGGGCCTTCTAAGAAGATGGAGTTTCCTAATGGGAGAGAGAAAGGACAGGGTTGTGCCCCTTGTCTCTAAGCATTGTCACTCCTGAAAACTAGAGTGTCTAAGCTCTGGGAGAGGTTTCATGCAATTCACCTTGGTGCAAAATGCTCACAGTGTATGGCTAAGGAAATAAATCCAGAGGCCACAGCTACTCCATCCTCTAAAACAAGATCACAAATCAAATTCGGCCTAATACTCTAACCTGACTTAGTAACTCTTGTAACTTATAGATGACAGGTATGAAAAAGAATAAATGTTTGAACGTTTGTAACAGAAAAGTTCAAAACACTGTCCGGAGGATCATTTTATCAGAGTGGAAGGCTGGATCCTTTCTCCTGTGAAGTAGACACTTGGGTAACTGTCTTTTTCACTTACTTACAAGTTGTTCTCTCTCTCTCTCTCTCTCTCTCTCTCTCTCTCTCTCTCTCTCTCTCTCTCTGATGCTAGGAAGGATACCAAGACTATGAGCCCGAAGCCTAAGAGTGTCTTTGCTTCCAGTGTCCTGAAATCTACGGCCACTGTTCCATGGTGTACAAGTGCTCAGTTCCAATGTGCCCATTCATGACCTTTCCTCAAAGCTGTACAATGTGTTTCAAAGTCTTCCATCAGCAGTGATTGATGTCCTGTACCTGCCCCTCAGCCTCCCGGTGCTTCCCTCTCACTACAGTGAATACATGGTAGCAGGGTCTTGTGTGCTGTGGATATTGTGGCTTCAAACCTAACTCATTAGACGAAATTTAAAACACCCAAGTGACTACCACTTATTTCTAAATCTTCTTTTTTTTGCTCTTCTTGAGACGTTGTGATTTGCTATCTTATAAGAGCTTTAGGTGTCCTTAATGATTCTTTCTGTCTAAGAATGATGTGTTGTGAAATTTGTTAATATATATTTTAAAATATGTGAGCATGAAACTATGCACCTATAAATTTTAATTATGAACTTTACAGTTTTGTGATGTGTTTTATTAACTTGTGTTTGTACATAAATGGTGAAAATTAAAATAAAATATCTCATTGCAAAATCACTCTTTTTCCACTTCACTTTGGGCATGAAATCCTGCTTATCAGGAACATAAGCTGGAAATGACAACCGAAACAAAGAACTTGAATTCAAGATTTTTGGCACTATCTTAAGGGAGGGAGAGGAGTGAGAGATGGAATGTACACATGCAGGAGAGAATCCCCAGTGCAGCTGCCCAGTGCTGCTCTGCTACAATGCTGCTCTGCATGCTGGCTGCACTGACAAACAGTTCACTTGCGACTAAAGAGTGTGAGTGATAGTGACTACCTCCCTTTTGCATATTCATAAGACACAACAGCATATCAGAGATCCTCTGAAAGAAACTGCTGAACTTCAAATTTCTTATATATATATATATATATATATATATATATATATATATATATATATATATATATATATATATATATATCTCAAATGCCTCAGGGTCCCCAGTTAGCAGGCTGGCATATATGATACCTTAGCAGGTATGGGAAGACAAAAGCAAAATGTCATTTTGTAAATACAGGGATTTGGGAATATTTTTCAGGAAAAGTTTTCCTTAAAGAGGATTAATCAATTTTCCATGAGTGTAGAAAACAAAAACAAAAACCCACTTGACTATGATTGGAAACTTACTTCGTTCATCTTTCTAGTTATTGATGAGAAAAATAGCAGAGTCATGGTGAAAGCCACTTGCAGATGGTGTAAATTCAGTAAAGAATATTGTGGTTGATGCATGATGATGACTACCTTGGTGCATATTGGGCAGTGGCAGGAAGGAGAAACCATGAAGACACCACCACAGCTGAGAAAATACAACTACAGAATGTCAAGTAGCACACTGCTTTGACACTGGGGAGAAGTGATAATTCTCCTATCTATCTTAAGTTTTCTTGAAGCTGATGAATGATTCATTATTACGGTGTCCTGAATATTGTCAAGGGTATGTTTTAAATCCATCAATGTAAGGAGTATGGTTTTTCCGCCCGCCGCCTGGTCTGGTCCAGCTGCCGCGCCAGCCCCAATTAAAACACAGAGACTCTGTATTTGATATTATACTGTTGGCCAGTTACTAGTTTCTTATTGGCTAGCTCTGTCTTAATTATTAACCCATTTCTGCTGATCTATGTATTTCTCTTACCAGGGAGCCGGCCGGCATTCTGCTTTCTCCAGACTCTCCATTTTGGCTCCTCCTTACTACTTCCTATTCCTCCTTGTCTCCTAGTCCTTCCTATCTTCCTTTCCTATTGGCCAACAGTGCTTTATTCATTAACCAGCATGAGAAACATTTACAGAACGACATCTCCCATCACATCAAGAGTGCCATCTTTTTAAAAAGAAAAATAAGTGGTAATAAATTATAGAACAAAATCAAATTGACAGCAGTGGCTATGAGCAGTGTGGCATGGAAGAAGACTGTGCTTGATCTTGAGGGCTTCTATTGATAGAAATTATTATAAGTCTCTCCTTCCTTAAGCAAATTCTGGGTGTTAATTCTCAGTAGTTTTTTTTTTTTTCTTAGTGGTTTATTTTTCATTCAACACTTAACAACGTTCCTCAGTTCACACAAGCCTTGACTGCCTAGTGTCCTGCACCTGCCTGCCTAGTGTGGCCTGGGGATGGCTCATCTAAAGCTTTAGCTTTGAGGATGTGAATCCCATATCAGATATGTTTGACCTCTAATGAGTTCACCAAGACTTTGAAGAAAGCCTTCCACAGCAGGCTTGGGCACACAAATGGCACCACGCCATATTCAATTATATATTCTGGAATTCCAATTGTATGTTTTATATTTCTTAACTTTTATTGCTATTAGTGATATAATGGAAAATATATGTATACACACACACACACACACACACTTTCTAGGAAATAGTAACATACACCTAGTATACTTATAATCTATCCAGAGGCAGAAGGATCATGTGTTTTAGACACTTTGTCAAGATGCATATATGCTGATAGTTTCTACTTCTAATTTTCCAATTCCTGGCAGAATATTTAAAAGCATTGGGGTTTTGTGAACCATACAGTTGCTAAGGTTGCTAATTGTGTCTTTTCTTCTAATAGCTGATCTCTGCCCTTGGTTTAGACCCAGATTCCAATGTCAGGGATTTTCTGACTCTTGTTCCGATGAAGTACACTTTGGCATCTGAAGCTGCCTGTAATTTATTTTCCTCATTCAGCACAGATGACATCCCTGAAATAAAGATGGGAAAAATGAAGAGCAGACTTATCTAATGAAAGTTTTATATGGCATACAAGGACTCAGGAATCAAGGGTCTAAAATATAAGAAAACTGTATTTTTATTGTTGAGTTTTGTTAAAACAGCTATATAGAACTACCGTTAAATAAAAACGTGGTATAATCTACTGTGATATATTGGGGGAGGCTGGCAAACCTTCTTTGTATTCTTCTTGCTTCTGTTGTCATGCTTTCCATTGGGAGCCTGTTATTTTGGGGTCTTCAAACAGGGAAAGAGAGGAGGGGGTGCTTTGTGATTCTAAAGCTTTCTTTTTCCTTCAGCTCAAAATACACAGCATGTCATAATTCAGACATGTCACATGTTCTGAGTTCTGTCTTTGTTCACCAGAAGGCCAAGCAATGTCTAGAAACTTAAACATTCCAGACCCTATTCCAGTACCCCAGGAAGGGAAAAGATCTCAGAATCAAGACCCATCTTCATAATTTCTCTGTAAAACTCTCTAAAAGACAGGGCTCAGACAACTTCTGGTCAAGTAAGCATTCAGCGACAGCCTGAAGTTCTACAACACCAATCCTACACATTACCCTTTGCATTTCCTCTATCTGGCTGCTCCTGGGGTTTATTTTTTGCAACAAGCTGATGATATACTGAATAAATTGTAAACCACTCCTGAAAATTATAAAAACTAAGCAGGAGATCTTGGGAACCTTTAATTAGGAACCAAGTTAGAAGTTGGGAGTAACTTGAGGACCCAACACTAGTTACTGGCATTTGAAGTTGAAGACAGTTATGGGACTCAAGCCCTAGCTTTACTACAGAGAAAAATGGGTTGTTTTTCTTTTTACCAGAGAAAATGCTATTAAAAACCCATTCCAATAGAAAAAAAAATATTCTTTTAACTACAAACTTAATACTCTGCCCCTGGCTTTGCCCTTGAGGATCTGTATTCCTGTGTAGGAAGAGCTCACCCTGTTTGTTCTTTCTTTCTTGGGTGGTGTAACACACCATGACTGACATGACCATGCTAGCCCTGTCCTTGGATTTGGATATATTTTAAGGAAACATATTTTCCCTAATATGGATTTAGGTATGGTTCTAATACATACTTTAAGTCACTCAAAACAATACTAAGAGACTCAATTTTCTGTCTCATTTACTGCATGAGCTTAAGCACCTACTGGATAAGAAGCTTGCCCAAGGCTGTCTCACCAATAAATGGCAGGTCTGGAGTTCCAGCCTTCACAGTCTCTCATAAGGATGGCAAATACACAAGAGAATTTTTCAGAAGTCTAAGCAGTGGTGTAGAATCTACTTCTCCAGGTACAAATATTAGGGTGTTTCTATTTTCCTTCAGGTATTTGTGTGCCAGAAGAGTTTCATGTCTGTAGAGATATTTCTGATCCTAAGAAAACTACTCATTCTGAGATAGATATTTCATCATAATTATGACTCTTGTCATTTATTTTTAATTGAAAATTAAAATGTAGATGCAAGGGTTGCAATAGCTTAAAATAATAAGGCAAGATTTATCACTAGTAATTGATTTCTGCCAAATGGCCAAAGAAATATACAAAATCATTCATAAGTAGGATTTTAATTTATGTTTATTTATCAGTTAAATATCTAAATTTTATAAACATATTACATAGTTAGGGAGTGAACCAAGAATTTCCACTGGTAAATGATAATAATACCTTAATATTTTGTGATAAGTTCCTATTTTCTAGTTACATTTTTGATACAGTGATGCTTTGCCTGAGTCTAAACTTGAAGGACTCCCATTGTAGCGAACAGAAATAGCATCAGAAGTTTGTAAAGGTAACTTTTCTTCCAATAACTCCAGTATACTCATCTAAGATTTCTTTTCCTTTGCTGCTCCTATGGTAGCTGTGATTATCTTAGATCCTATAGTAGACTCAGCTAAAACTATTTCTTCAAAAAGTGGTAATTTAACTCTATGGTAAGAATGATGATGGATGGGGGTTGGTGTGGGGGAGGGGAGACAATGGAGGACACAGGAGGAGGAGTGGGATGGAGAGCTGTGGTTGGAATGTAAAATGAAATTTTAAAAATGAATAAATTATAAAAAAAACAATGAATAATACAGTTTAACTCTAAAACCATCCAGGATTCCGTAGGGTATTTTAAAATGTTGCATCTGCAACTACAGACTAATATCCTGGGTTGGCCTCTCCTATGAGCCCTTTGAAAATGTATCCTTAGATTCCTTCAAAGGTCAGTGACCAGAAATTCCCAGTGTTTCTATGGCAACACAGCAAGACATGGTGCCTTGGAAATTTGTTGCATTTTAATTATGTTCCCCCAAGTCTTCTTAACTGCCTTTTTTAGGTAAATAAACACCAGGTCATATTTTGAGAGGAGATAGAAGCTGACCCATGTTCATAAATATAAGACTAAAGCTGGGATCCAGAAAAGTCAAATTTAAGCAAATATGGTAGCGAATCTACATGCTTTTCCTAGGAAGAATATAATATGCTTGATGTAGAAAAGTCAGTGATGCATGCTTAGGGAGGCTGGCCAAAAGAGTATTGAAGACCCAAACTCCAAAACAAGACTGTTGAAGACTGGCTAACATACTAACAGTGTTACTTGATATCCAGATGGGTCCTCTATTTGTCTGCCAAAAAAATAAAAATAAAAAAAAAAAAAATACATATGGTAATCCTAGAACTTCAAAGCATTCATGTGCAAAAGATAACTATTAAGTAGAATGC